TAATGTGATGTGATGTAATGTAAGGTAATGCAATGTAATGTTTGTATGTATGTATGTATGTATGTGTTTATGTTATGTTATGTTTTGTTAAGTATTGTTGTGTTATGTTTTGTTATGTTTTGTTATGTTATGTATGTTATTTTTGTTTGTTATGTGTGTTTTGTGTGTTATGTATGTTTTGTGCGTTTTGTGGGGGTATGAATGCTATGTGTGCTATGTATGGTATTGGATGGTATGTATGTAAAGTATGTAATGTATGTAATGCATGTAATGAATGTAATGTATGTAACGTATGTAATGTATGTAATGTATGCAATGCATGCAATGTATGCAATGTAAGCAATGTATGCAATGTATGCAATGTATGTAATGTATGTAATGTATGTAATGTAATGTAATGTACTGTAGTGTAATGTAATGTAATGCAGTGTAATGTAATGTAATGTAATGTTTTGCAATGCAATGCCATGCAATGCAATGTTATGTAGTGTAATGTTTGTATGTATGTATGTATGTTTGTGTGTTTGTTTGTTATGGTATGTATGTAATGTAATGTAACGTAATGTAATGTATGGTATGGTATTTTATGTATGTATGTATGTGTGTATGTGTGTATGTGTGGATGTGTGCATGTGTGTGTATGTGTGTATGTGTGTATGTGTGTATGTGTGTATGTAATGTATGTTTGTATGTATGTATGTATATTTAAATCTTCTTCAATCTTCATTTCCTCCATAGTCATGTTTTGACCTATTTTATATGAGGTGATTCAAGTCAATTTTGTCATTGCAATTGTTGCTGAAACTTTCCTCCGGGCTATCAGAGTCCTTCGGAGAGTATCTCCTTTATATAGCCTGAACGGAGAGGAGGGTAACAGATTGCATCTCTGTTTGACTGTCAGATAATGGAAGGAATCATGGATGATCATGGATGCATCCTTCTTTTTTTCGCTACTTCAGCACTAAGCATGCATATGTACTCAATGCCGCAAGTCGGTTGGGTGGCGTTGACTCGGGTGGGGCATGTCAACGCTAATCGGAACCTGTAAACGTGCTCACGAATGGGGTGGGATGGGGAGAGGTTGGCTGAGGGTGGGGTGGGGGCATGCTAGCATTCATCTCCGCTGGCACTTTATTGATGCTACCCTGTGATTTTAGTGGGATACGGCGGCATGTAAATGTTGATTTGAATTCGCATGAACTTGAATGAACTCGCACATGCACTTTACGGGGTGGGCCTTGGATGCCTTACGGGGTGGGCCTTGGATGAAGTGCATAGAGCTTGCAGTTGCAAGTGGCAGTGTCCCGGCTGACAATAGTTTATAATCATTGGGAATCATATGTTACCCCCAAGGCCCTTGTCTTACAGAAACTTGAAGGTGTTCTCAGATAGCAATGCTGCACTCTGAAGGTGATTCCAGTGAATCCCCGTTTTGGGAGATGTGTTTCCTGTGGGGAAAAGGGACTGTGAGGGGCACAAGGGTGAGAGAGTCAAAACCCTGCAAACACCGCATGAAGTGTGACATCTGAAGCGTCTAAATGGGGACAGTGTTCCAATTGGAATGATGTTCGTGATTCAATGATCTCCGTCTTTGTACTTGTTGCACTTGTTCTCTGTTTATGGTCCTTTTACACAGTCAGTGAGGCTTTAGAACTCTTCACATCTTGTGTTGTGCATGCCGCCTTTTTGCAAGTGGCATTTGCAACCCCAGCACAACTAGGTCTTGGCTTAGTCACATGGCAACAGTGACGGCTCCGCAGCAAGCAGCTTACGACTGAATCCTGAAGTCATACAGAGTCACCAGAGATCACCAGAGATCACCACCTCTGAAGGAACCAGAGCCCGTCTGACCGTCTTCCATTTGAATTCAGTCTGAGCCAAGGACCAATCCTGACTCGAAAGGGACCCCGCCGCTGTGGTCTGCTTGGTCGTTCCCGTTACATCTTTGACATTTTGGCAAAGAGGAAACCACATGTACTGCAGCTGCCAGCCAGTGCCAGCCAGTGCCAGCCAGTGCCTGGAATGTGAGGCGAGTCGTCTTCTCATTCAACATTGGCCCCGTTCAGGGCCCAATGCCGTGCCACCCTCAGCTCATGATAGATGCACTGATAGATGCTGATAGACTGATATATTATATAGATGTTTTTTTTCCTGGACAATGGACTCTGGTGCAGTGCTCGGTGAAAACATGAAGATCCTTCAAGCCCTCAAGCCCTCAAGCCAAGCCTTGCAACGTGTGAAACACTGCAGCCTCTCGGGTCTCAGAGCCGGGTCTCCGTGCAAGTGGGGTGCAGTTGGTCACCCAGGCCAGGACCAAGTTTGTCTTTACTAATGCGCTACGTCCGCTACGTGCACTCAAGTGAATTCAGATTCCTGAGGATCTATTTGAGCCCCTGTCGACTTCCCATGCAACATCTGATGCAGTATAGTATAGAATCACAACGTTGCACAGTCTTGAAATGAATTTACTATTGTTGTGTTTTGGAATGTTTGGAATGATATGTTGAGCACCCTCACACAAGGTGAAAGGTGCACCCCCCGGTTGCAAGTTGGTTTGTAAACCCCATTGACTATAGTCACTATAGTCATATCCACCCACAAACCCTAGCTAACCAAGTTATATGTCAAGTTCACTATCTAGGGCCTAGGGGCCTAGGGGGCCTCACCTTGCAAGTTTCATAAGTTCGCTGTTCGGAGACCTGGTTCCAGGACTTGCTTTAGCCCATGAAGGGCTGGGGCACTGTCCTGCTGCTTGCCCCACTGGCCCCACTTGTTCAGGCAAAGTATGCTTAATCATGTTGAAAGATGTTGCAAGATCTGTTTTGGAAGCTGAGGTAGTAGCAGACTCTGCTGATTGCTGCACTTTCACACATTTTTGCAAACCTTAAACTTTCTTTGCACGACTATGCATATGTGCTTAATTTCAGTCCGGAGCCGCAGCACATGCATCACGCTTTCATTTGTTTGAATGCTTCCAAGGTATTTGTCATGCCAGATAGAAAAGACAAGATTGTGATGAGTGTATAGTGCCATATAGTGCCTGAAAGTGTCAATGGCCCACTATGCCTCTATCGTGAATAAAAGTGCGTTGGATGTTTGTGAAGGTTTGCGAAAGGCAGACGTTTGTGCTCAAGCCATGCTTGCTGCCGGAATGCCAGCTTTTGCGGTGAGCCTACTAAATACATTCCTCAAAGGCAGAAGCTGCTTGCAAGCATTTCAAGTGCCTCAGACTTTGTTCCCACAAACCGCGTTTTTGCCATGAGTTCCTGATTTGAGCTACTGTAGGTCTACTGTGATTTTTGGGTTGAAGCACTTGTTCTGCGATGAGGTCATGATCATTTTTAGCAGCCTGAGATCATCAGCACCCTGTCAATTTGAGGTAAGACGGCTAAGAGTGCACGGTGCGGACATCGTTACGTGATACCAAAAATCATTGTGCCCTTTGTGCCTTGAGGTGCAGGGATGGCGGGTATGGCGGGTATGGGCTCTGACGGCTCTGTTGTTTCTCAACCAGGCGTGCCGAGCATTGCCCAGCTATGCCGAGCTGCTCTGTTTTGAACGATAACGGCATTCGAATCGCTTCTCCAGGCATCAGTGGCAGTGGCGGCAGCTCCACAGTTCCATCAGTCAGCCGCTCTCTCCACTATTTCAAGCCAAGTTTCTGAATCTTCGAGCCAAATATTGCAGGATTTGAAGGCAAGGCATGGCAAGGCCACAACACATTGATTGCAGCCAAGAGTCTTACAAGACCTTGCAAGCAAAATGGAAAGTGCGTCCAGGATTTCACGCCAGCGTCTATCACGTCTGCAACTGATTGGCCTTGGGACCACCGTATTTGACGAGAGGAGTGTTGAGAGGACTGACTGATAATGACTAAGTCTTTGCAAGATCTGAGTCAGATTCTGGAACACAGATCCTTTTTAGCGGGACTTAGGTACCCCCACTTTGGCACCGCCAATGACATTATGAGACGAGGACCGCACCAGTCCTCAACACTGACCCAGTCACACTCTGAACTGTAAAGTCCAGAGGGAATGATCTTTCACCCTGCAGCACGGGGGCAGCCAGGCATGCCAAGGGAGGCAAGCAGAAAGAAACAAACCATTTGCCCACATCCAGACGGTCAATCGCTTTGGAGCTTTGGCTTTGCTTCAGGAGGCATAGATGCGGCTAGGGTTTGGAAGCTTGCCATTGTCGCAGCTTTGCTGGGGTCACTGACAGTTCCATGGTTTGCATTTAGGCAATTTTCTCCAAGCCTAACTGGACTGTTTCCGGAAAGACCTTCTACGATCTACGCCTGTTTGCTGAGATTTGCCGAGGCAGTGTGCATTCCAGGGAAGACGCTTTGCTGCACTTTCTGGCAACAGATTTGCAAGTCACTTGCTATACTTGTTACTTAATCTACTTAGCATTCGTCCTGCTAGCAAAGTGCACCGCTTGGATGGGGGCTACTCTGCCGCCCACATGCTTCAAGTTTTGTTTGCCGTTTTGTCGCATGCACCCAACAAGTTGCCAGGAAGCAAATGAAGTTGGAAGCAAAAGAGGCCGGCGGTCAAATTTCATGATTCCCACGTTGATTCTTGAAGCACGATAGCCTAGGGTCAAAAAGACCTGCATCGGAAGCTGAGGATTCCACTACACCACTTTGAAATTATTCATTTTAATGTTGGAACGTTTATCCTATGAACGTGACTGGTGCTTTTTATTTTCCATCCATTACAGTTGCAACGGGAGCCCTGTAGGAGACCGTCCAAAGCTATCCATGGAAGATGCTGCCGAGCCTTGGTGCAATAGGATGCTTGCAGTCAGGTTTCAGGTGTAGAATCTGGAGATTTTCAGCACTTTTCGCCCCTGGACTCAAAATTTCAAGGCCACCTGCGGATGTAGCGGCAGCTGGTCCTACCTTTGCTGATGGCGTCGGCGCTGGTTGGAAGCTAGAAGCCCCAGAAGCCCCGGAAGCCCCAGAAGCCCCAGGAGTCTGTTTGAGATTCTCAGTGGCAGACTCGTAGCTCTAGCCTGATTGAGGAAGATTCTTGTGAGCCGGGGCATGCGGCTTCAACATCGTGCCTCCAGCGATGTTTCTTTTCCTGTGAAACTTTCAAAGAATGTGACAGGTGTGCCGGGGATGTTACTAATTTATACTAATTTTACATAATGATGATGATAATTTTCCGTGCATCAGACATCATAACTTGGATCTTAATGCCCATGCTGCGAGATGAAAAGGTTCAAGCCACGCCAGATCAAGCCAGCTTTGCATGTGGCTATGCCTGTGTGACATCCGTATTGGGAAGTGAAATTCCAGCGATTGATGGGTTAGGTTTCAGCACTGCAGGCAATATTGCAAAGATGCTAACTTTAGTCCTCATACTACTGCAATTGAGCATTGCCAGAGGCACGCTTGCAGCAGGAGTGACTGAAATGGACGAGTGCATCAAGATTCTACCTCAGTGCGTGCATGAATTGTGGGAGTCAAATCAGCGTGGAGATGCTACCAACGAAGAAGAGCTAAGCTTTGGCTTGCTAGCAGCCTGGATGAAAGGGCTCTACACGAAGAAAGATCCACCTTATTTGGCGAGTGATCTCCAGTTGAGGGCATCAACTTTGAAGCAGCTGAAAGAATTGGCAAGCTTCAGCTTGGCCAGCCCTGACCACTTCAAATATGCAATTGGTGTGGGCCAAATGCTTTTCCTGTACTTTTGGTGGGGCTTACACCCGCCAGATGATGAAGACAACCGGCTTCTAGGTCCAAGTATCGAAATTGTATCTTTGTCTGCCAGCCTGCACACGGCCAGCGTGGCTGGAAGCTGTTCTTCACCGGGCATAGCTCAAATAGAATTTGAAGCAAGGAAATGCCCGTGGCGCTGGCGCTTCGTACTACTGTTGCTGGTGGAAATAGCCAAGCAGTTGGCAGCTTATAAAGATTTGAAGGGTGCTGCTGAGCACTTCCGTTTGGCAGAGGCACACCTCAAGACGATGCGGATGTTGCCCTACTTCGCACACCATCGAAGCTTGCTTCCAGGTCAAGGTCCCTACAGGGCCAATCACAACGATGATCTTCTGCGCAGTTCCCAGCACTGGCCAGTTTGGCCGCGCTCTGCGTGGCCACCCCTTGCCAACTTCCTGGAAGAACATGCCCACATTTTCCGTGCTGAACTTGATAGATTGATACTTGCTGATATGGACTACGATGAGCTTTTCCGAACAGTGCAGGAACAACAAACAGAGTTTACTCCACTTCCGAAAGACTGGGGCCTCCTGGATCTGATCCGCCAAGGCAACCGCACTGCAGTATGTCCTTACACTCCGCAAAGCTGTGCGTTGTTGGAAGAGCGTCCTGAAATCAATGCGCACTGTTTCTCAGAGCGCGTGCCCAATGCCGGGGTTGCCTTTGCGCGACTTCTTCCGGGCTCTGAAATAAAACCCCACTTTGCCACAGAGCCAAGTTTAGCAATTCACCTGGGATTGATAACACCACCTGGTGCAGAGATGTGGGTAGCCAACGAAACGGTGACTTGGTCCGAAGGCAAAGCAGTGGTGTTTGATGATACATTTTTCCACGGGGTGCGTCATCGAGGGATTGAGGCTCGTTATATCTTGCTCGCGTGGATTTGTCATCCTTGCGACTTGCACTGGAGAAGTTCAGCGCAGGATTCTTCTGCTTTGCCGCTCCATTGCGACAAGAAGATGGGTGACTCCTTATGAACTTATGATCCTCTACTATTCGTTATGACTCTTCTGGCACTGACTTGAAAGGTACATGATCTACCATGCCTCAGGTACATTGTTATCCATGTAACTGTTCTGGCTCTAGAGCTCGACCTAGGTAAACACAAGACTTCGTCACAAGCGGACAGAGGAAAACAGACATTTGCGGAAACAGTACTTCTTTGTCACCTTAGTTCCTCTATTTTTCGAGTTGGTAGCGGAGCCGGGAACCCCGGCAGTAACCCCCATTTAAGGTATCTGCTATACCCTAAGGGTCGACTCGACTGTTTTCATTTTCTTTTCATCCTTACTCCATTGATTGTCATCATGTTCACCGCCGTGCTGAAGTTGTGTGCCGTGTTAGTGGTGGCACTGGTGGGGTCTGTCTCAGCCAGTACTGGGCTGGTGATCAAGAGTCGCAATACCAGCGCTCTTGTGATCCAGTCCAGTACGGTTGGGGCAGGCTCGATCAGTGTCACTACACACTGGTATGCAGCGAGCAATGGTCGCAAAGCCCCAGTACAGGCCAGGCCCGAAGGCGAGTACAAGCCCAGTCTGGTGAATGGGGATCAGTGGAGGCAGGAGCTGAATTCGACCCTGGTGCGGCTGCACCACTCAAGGAGGAAGTTCAAAACGAACCCTCGGGATCAGCGTAGGGCAGAGCTTTTGCGTAGGCGACTCAGACGGCAGCAGAGATTAGTGTTTGAAAGAATGCTAAACATGTACGACTCTAAGCTGAAACATCTGAAGTCTCGTCACAAGGAACTCTGTGAGCTGGTCTATGGGAAAGATGCAGCCATTAGATCCAGGAACCAATGCATGACCGGATCCACAGCAGGCAATCGGAAGGTGAAGTCTCCTGAAGCCCATGGCAATTCGGGTTCGATGACCGCTGGTCACCGTGATGGTAGATCGCTCTCGGATTCGACACTATTGCTAGCCGCTGGAGGCGGCCTTAGCACATGTGCATTAGTGGCTTGCATGGTGCCAGGAAGGAGTAACCATCCAAGATTGCCCCCCGCATGGAGCCCAGAAATGGAGCATCAGTATAGCTTCAGTACTTGGTCTAGGGACATCTTAATTTGGAGCATTGCTACAGATGGGGATGCATCTCGAAAGGCGGCTAGTGTGATTTCTCAACTGCAGGGATCAGCCAGGGAATTCAGCAGAACACTTCCGCCGCAGACCATTCTGACAGGGGGGACCGTAAATGGTACCCAAACCGACCCACTAACGTTTTTGATGTATCAACTTAGCACCCGATTTGCCAGGCTAGGTGAGGAAGTCCGGCTAGGGGCAGTAGGAGATCTGTTGTCATTTGGAAGGGAATCCAATGAAAGGATCGACATGCTGCTGACTAGGTTTGATACTACCCGCATGCGTGCGGCAGAGACAGGTGGGCTCGCCCTGAGCTATGCTGGTCTTTCTTGGTTGCTGATCCGTGCCGTAGGTGTCTCGGATTCTCAATTGATCCAACTTCTACAGCCACTCGGTGGTGCTCTCCCTGCTGATGAGCAGCAATTCACAGGGTTGAAAGACTCCATCAGACGTATGGGTAGGATCATTGAAAATGCACCAGGAAACATGTCCAACATGTTGCGGGGTAGACAACATCCAACACACAGTTACCATATTCAGGACGAGCAGTCATGGAATGAAAATGTATTCACATCTCAGAATGACCAACCCAGTAGCTCATGGCACGACCCGAGTTCTTGGCAATCCCAATGGCATTCACCCGAAGCATACCCCACTTATACACAGCCGCAAGATCCATACGTGTATTTGTCAGAGGGCCAGGGTGACAGTGGCACTGACACTGACACCAGCAGTGACTATGGCGAAGAAGCCTGGCCAGCTGCTGAGGGTGCCACGGCCAATGAGCAGGCTGCCGAGCTCTACTGGGCCTATTCTCGTGCTAAGGCACGCTGGAGGTCATTCATGGGCAAGCCGACCCGAAAAGCTCGGAGGTTTGCCCGCAGAGCCATCTACAAAGGTGGAAAGGGTGGTAAATCAAAACATGGAAAACCCAAAGGCAAGATCATCAATACTTCATCTTATTTGTCCGAACTCAATGAATCCCAGCTCATGGAAATTTTCCATGCCTTTAGGGCAAAAGGTGGAAAGAAAGGGGCAGGGAGTGGCAAGGGTAAGGGCAGAAAGGGCAATCCAAGAGGCCCGGATGGACGTAAGATGAGATGCCACGAATGTGGTTCGGAAGATCATCTGGTTGCCAAGTGCCCAAGACGGGCTGCAACCAATGACTCGTCTCAGAACTTGTTCGTAGACTTGGACACCGCCGACCAGATTCCCCCAGGTGTAATCACATCAACCACGGTCCTCATGGTCAATGAAGTAGATGCTAATGTTGGACAAGAATCCGGAACTGATCATTGGTCGACAGTTTCTGGTGGACCCCCATCCAATGCATCCACATTACCAGCAGCACCTCAGGACCCGTGGACCAATAGTGATCCTTGGAGGCGGTACACCGAGAGCAGGACTGGGAGACAGGTCATTGGGGGGATTGTGAATCCAATGCCACCACTGCCGCGCACGACCCGGGCAGTGGATATGGCCGATCAATCCTTGTACATGCAGAGTGTCTTCAATGGCCTGAATGGCCTGATGCATCCGACCACAGAACCACGATCTTTTGGACCGCCAATGATGAACCAATTTACCCATAACACCCCACTAGCCACTAATCCAATGAATAATCTTCCCCAGAATAACCCCACTAATCCACAGGGCAGAAATGTAACCAGCGAACCATTTTTACAGCAACCTGTTGCAGAATCGACTACTATCCAAGAACCATATGTCGCCCACGCCACGCAACCACCACCAATGCAACCACCACCGGTCCATCGGCACGAAGTGCCACAACACCCACTGATCGTGGGACCAGGGGAGATCCCAACAGTGATCCTACAACATCCGACCCCGGAGTTGCCAGGATGGGCATTGATGCCCGAGTTTAATTTCTTGCAGGGGACTGCCTCGGAAGTGCGTGCACCGACCTATCATCCGATTGTCTCAGAGAATGCTATCAGCACACTTGACACGATCCGTAGTCAAGTTGTGGGGGAATTTCATCAAGCAAACCAGTTGCGTGAGATCCCAATAGCTTCTAGAGTATCAGAAAGGGTCAGTGAGCCAGCATTCAATCATCTGCAGGTACGTGCTCTTCATCATCAGCACCGGACGATGATGACACTGCAGGAGATGAGGACTCGTGAATCGGAAGGTTCGAGGAGTGAGGTGAATCCGGCCCCCACAGTAACACCCTCGAATAATCCCACAGAACCCATGGTAACTCCAAATGTCGGACAACCCAATGTTGAATACTTAGGGGATGAACACCGCTGCAGCATTTGTTTGGAAGAATATAGTGCAGGAGAACAACTGGTGCGATTGACCTGCAGGCATACCTTCCATGAAAATTGTTGGACTGAAGTTCTTTTGAGGGAAGAAAATCCAACATGCCCATGCTGCCGCGGTGGGGGACAGGTAGTTGCACATTATCGCTACATTGCACCCACATCTCCAAGAGCAGATCAACACGATGAGTTTAGGACACCACACGGGACACCCACTTTTCCATGGTGGCCTGAGACAGCAGAGGCAACTGGAGCCGCATCCACATACCATTCATCCACCCAAGTGCCTGGTCATCAATCAATTGTAGTTGATCCAGGGGCATGGACCAATCTAGCAGGTCAGCAATGGGCTGAACGCCAAGCCACAGCCGCGCGGAATGCGGGCTTGAGGTCGACGCGTAAGTCCATGACCAACCCAATGGCCGTCAGGGGAGTAGGACAGGGTACCCAAAGCTGTACGCATGTTGCCACATTGCCGATAGCAATACCCAACATCATCCACCCCCGCTCTCAACCGGAAGAAGGTGAGGGTCATTTGGTTAGGGGCGAATCTGTATCATTCAACTTCGAAACCCCCATGGTAGAAGGGGAGGGCCGTGACCTCCCGGCACTACTTGGCTTGAGGAGCATGAGCAATCACAACGCCGTGCTGGAAATGGCACCTGGCAGGGAAATGCTCACCCTCACAGCCACGGGTAGCTATACCATTAGCTGGGGTGCGGACGCGATACATATTCCACTAGAGAGGGCTCCCAGCGGACATCTTGTGTTTAGGACCGACGCATTCCAGAGCATTCCCAGGAGAGGTGGAGGTTTACCCCCAACAGTCTATGGGTTATATAGCCATATGAATCGTCAGTACCAAGAAACTCCAGATGTTCCCATTGGCGTAGCCCCTAGTGATAATCCGTATGCAGATGTCCCCGAAACCCCAGCAGAAGCACCTGCCAGATCATCCACAGAAGCCCCAGCCAGGAGTGCAACACGAACTGGACAACCATCTCCAGTATCACCATCAACAACCCCATCACCTGCATCACCACCACCACTGCCAAAGACAGGACAACCATCATCAGAACCACCTCCAGCACCAAGACCAACACCAACACCTGCACCACCATCACCAATACCAAAAGCAGAACCACCATCAGCAGAACCAGCTCAACCATCGATGCCAACACCTACTGAGAGCACAGAATTTCCACCAGCACCACCACCTGAAGCGACTGTAGCAGCAGTTCCAACATATCTAACACCACAGGCAACAGTGATGACAGCAACAACAGAATCAGACACAGCCAAAACAACGACTCCGATCAAGGCCATGCCGGCGAAACTTGGTGAGCCTGCAACAGCAGCACCAACAACCACCATGTCAACACCCACACAACCAGCAAAAGCAGCAACGCCAACCATCGCAACAACAGCACCTGCAAAACCGCCGACACCAACACCATCACAACCACCACATCCAATTCCGGCGATGCCATCGCAACATCATCCACCACCAGCGAAGCCAGCGGCAACAGCAACTCCCGAACAATCAACGCCAGCCCGATCACCAGCACCAACACCATCATCACAACCAAAACTACCAATG